ATGATTATCACACCCATATCACATGATTAACCGTTTATTAGATAATGATAATCATGATCGTDTAAYSRTDYYAAAAGATTTTATGATATCATTTCCATTATTACCCTTTTAATTTTAATATTTTCTGAATCTTTTTAAATTTCAATTTTAGTTTTAAAAATCTTTAAATTTTATTTTTATCACAATATGTGGTTATTGGATTGTTCTCGCATTCTCGTAAATCACAGGGGTTCTCGTTTGAACCTTTCCCTATATATATATATAAATATATATATATATATATATATGTATGTATGTATGTTATTGAAAAGATATAGTTCAATTAGTTTTAGATTGAATTTAAGAGTATACAAATAGAATGTGGACCATGCTTAGCTTTTTGAGATTCAAACAATCTTTCAAGTGTTTCCTGTTCACATGATTCTACATTATACTCATAACAACTACAAGTATGGGTGTTTATGGTTTATGTTGATTGAGTTGAAAATATTTACAAAACCTAAACTAATGTTTGTGGTTTGAAAAATTTTAACCAACTTAATTTAACCCGTACGGGTTAGTCGGGTTGATACTTTGGTAAATTAAAATATTCCCATAACATTACATATGTTATTTCTTTATTTATAATTTTTTTCATCATCAACTATTTGATACAACTTATCCATACTTCTTAAATTTTACGTGTATAACATTCAATTAATTTTCTCAATTTACATATATATATGTTCACAGTTACTGAACATATATACAATTGAGTTACATAGAGATAAAGAATAGATTGAAAATATGTGTATATGAAAGATGATACATGATAGTGTGATTGTCTAATGTACATATTAGTGAAAACTTAACAATCATATTAAATCCAAGAAGTAAAAGGTCGGGTTGAGTTGAATTCAAATAATAGTAACCCAATATTAAAAAAATTATAACTCAATTAGACATCAGGTTACTTCAAGTTGAGTTATTTAGTGTTGGGATAGATTGAGTTGATCGAATTAGTCGGGTTTTCGAGCAACTCAAACCAGTGTATAATTGCTTTAGAAGCTCACCTTACACTTTTGTTACGTATACATGTCAGAATTATCAAATTAAAGTATTTTTTTCATTCTTTTCGTCTTGGAAAAAAGAAACCCATTACAAATATTTGATGTAGTTTGTTGACACTCCTACTCAAATTTAGGGGTCGTTTATCTATACACTTATCCGATAAACACTTACCGGTAAAATTCGATATTATCGCTTACTTAACGGATAAGATTTTATTCACTAAAACGCATCGTATGCAACAACTTATCCCGGTAAGCGCTAACCATGGTAAGAGTCGTCGTCCTCACTTACCGGGTAAGACTCTCGGTTTTTGTCTTCGTTCTTACCGGGTGAGATTTTTAATCCTTACCATTTTCATCTGGTAAAGTAAAGTGACTTGATAAACGCTCACCTGGGTAAGAGTTTGAGACATCTTAGTTAATAATTTGGTACGGATGATAATAGATGGATGGGGCATTGGCCCAGTATTTTGATAGGGTCAAAAATGAAAAGAGTATATAACTTTATGGGTCAAATTGTAAATTTTAACAAGCCATAAATGTAATATTATTACCGTTACGTGAATTCGCCTCAAACGTTTCAGAAATTTAAACAACGGGATAGAAATCAAAGACCGATCATTCACTTTGTGACAATCGCAGGAAAATCTCCATCGGGGGATTACTGAAATATAAGCAATACAATAAGATGTTTTTTCAGTTTCTATATTCTTATATTTGTATATTAACTGATATTTCAATGGTGAAGATGAATATGATTTCTTTTTTGACTAACTTGGATATCCAACCCGTTATGTGAGCCGACTAATCTCAGAACGACCACCTGCTTTGCGAGTAGACCGGAGTCACCGTATTTAAACCTCCATAGCCACAAGATGATTTTTATTTCTTATCATTAAGTCGTTTTTCTTAAAAAATTGTGAATATTTTTCTTTTATTTTAGTTAATAATTTTCTATATTGTATATAACCACGATATAACCATAGACCCTTGTTGAAATATATATCTAAATATGGTTATAACCCTAACAAACCCAGTATATATCTATTCGTAGGTAGGGTCTGAAAATAATCATATATTCAGATATTTACAGTTTCATGCCACTGCTGCAATGATAATTGAAAAAGTGCAACTAAGCCTCGACTTTGTAGGGTTTATGGTCTTATGGTTCTCGTCACAAAAAAACTGCAATATGAATCTGGGCTCTGGCCCATGTCAAACAGATAATAGACAAAAATGTTAAGCCTCGATAAAAAAATATTACTGATAAGTAAATTTGCTCTACTCTTATTACTTCTCTACGAAGACGATACAATACTTTTTCACGAGTTGTTTGCACGAAGTTAATTTTTGTTTACAGATAACCTGGGAAAAAGTGATACAGTATTTTTGTAAAGAAGACGTAAGAACACAACATTTGTAGGTATCTAATCATAATTGTAACGTTCTATTAAACTACATATCAAATCAATTTAAAAACAGGGCATACGAAGCCACAAAGAAGGCTCGGGTCATCCGGCTCTTCGCCCCAGAAATGGAACTAACTTGAGGGCCCGGTGGATACGATGGGGCTCGTCTTCGAGAACCCCCATCGATAACTAAGATTGCTCTGGGAGAAAAACTCGTGATTGGTGTGCTCCCTTTCATTCCACACAGTAGGCAGCTTCTCTTTTTTCTATTCCAGTAACTTTGTTGCATTGGTCCGAGTTCGTCTGAGGCGTTCGTCTGCGTAGGAAGGCCAAAGGAGCTTCGTATATTTCAACACTATTTATACTCAAATTTGATTCAGATATTGCATACTTTTTTTTAATACAGCGAACTGTTAATTTTCATATAAGAATTTTAAATATTACTTTTTAAGTATGTCGTGGTATCTTTTATAAAAGGAAAAATATCACTCATCCTTATTTGAACGTTAAACAACTTATGATATGATACGATACTGGTTTATCATACATTATATGCGTTGAATCCAATGGTTGTTAGCATACCCCACCGTCAACCAAATCCGTAAACCGGTCCACTGACTCATCAGCAACGACCGTGAAACAAAATACATCAGCCATCAAAATGCTTACATCAAGTATGTCGTTCGTGTCCGTCAAGTATAGAACGACCATTATCAACTGTTTCCTCGTCGCTTATGTATTATGTGATACATTCGAAATTACTGAATCAGATCTATGTAACAGAAAGAGCGTTAAGTATGAACTGATTTCAAAAGCTTGATAATATATAGTCAACTACTGAATATATTCATTACCTAAAAGCACAACACTCACGTCTTGTTAACTCTCACCATGGTTGTTACGGCAAGACACTGCCAAACACATGTTGATATCAACATATTATTTTTCTTCATTCTATACAAATTTGAATCAATAAATATCACTGAGTAATAGTAGATTATATATATATATATGTGTGTGTGTGTGTGTGTGTGTGTTATACACATATGTCGTCTTAAGTCACATCTTAAAACCACTGTGACTCCTAAAGCCTGACCTCGTTGCAAAACCATACCTCGCTTCATTTGGAATACTTCTTTGAATCGTTAACTGTGTTTTGCACATCATGACATCCTTGAGGAATATATGGTTAGTATATATGGATTTTAAGAGCGATTAAGAGTCATTCGGGTAAAGGTTTCTTCTAGAAGAAAAATCTTGGTAGTGGGAACCCTAAAAGCATCGGTTCTTGATGAACGATCCTTTTGGTTTTGAGTTTTGTTCACGAAAATCCGTCACATAAGCAAGCGTTGAAAGAAGGGTGATGTTATTCCTTCTCGTGCTATTCACCCTATAAAAATCGTGTTTGATAATCAAAAGTACCGTGTCAACTTTTTTCTTGTACGCATTTATACCAAGAACCAAATTTGTCAATCTTGAATAGTGCATATGTTGCTAATATTCGAACTACACGAAACATAAGGAATAAGCTTAATCCTTAAGCTCATGGATTGTAAAAGGAATATTTATGAAACGGTTTTACCTCGTATCATTGATATTATCTGCACTTCAAACTTCGATTCGTAAAACTTAAACGAGAGATCCTTCTTTCTCAAAATTTTCTCGTTCTCAAGTTTCAGTTACAAACGTAATGTTTCAGATGCAGGCCCCACATGTTATCAACACCGTTGCTCATTTAGATTTTGTTTTTGTTTATAGAATGTGTAAAAGAAGTTACCATTTTGGTCCAAATTTGATGTGACTAGACAATTACTCAACTCAAGTACCAAACACATAATTGTCAGATCAATTAATTGGAACTGATAACTCACCATCATAAACGATCAATACAGATCGTAAATTGCGCCATAAATGAAGGAAGCAAACTCCGTCTCTCAAAATACAAGAATCATACACACGTCATATACTTTTTGTCCGTCTGTTTATTAACAAGCTCTGTGGAGTTCAAATACGAACTCTGTACCGTTCAGTTGTTAAACACCGACTTAAACTATTTTATGTATTTGTTTCCATATATTACTCATTTAAGAAACAAAGATGAAGTAACCCCCAAATACATCACCAATTAACATACCCTTTTGTGGTTGACTTAAATTTGAGCTTATTCAATCAGAAATCAAACCAAATTTGACTTAATACACTTTACTTTCTATCTAGAATAGATTTACTTCCATGAACAAATACAAACCCTCTTTTTTTGTGAGTTGCCTTAAAAGCTAAAACCATGATGCACAGGTTGGAACCACAGAAACCCCATATGTTTTCTTTCTTTGAGATCAATATAATAATACACCAAGAACGTGGCAAACCTTTAACTTTACCCTCGATTCCTCAATTTCTCCTTCTCTCTCATCCATTCCATGGCTGCCTACAAACACCCAACTCCAATTTTTCACATTAATCTCTCCTCCACCACAATTTTGGGAGAGAGATAGAGAGAGAGAGAGAGAGAGAGAGCTCACTTCGTTTCTTTATATCTTTCACTTTAACTATTGGGAACTCTTGTATTGTTGATTGAAGCTTCGGAAAGAACCCTAAAGTTCTGATCTTTGTGAAATTTGAGGTTCGCTTTTTAATCCTTTTTGTGTAAATGGTCGTTTGATTGTTAATGTGAAGTGGGTTTTGCTTTTTTTTGAGTTTTGGATTAGGGTTCTTGGTGGGGATGAATTTGGTAAAGGTTTTAATGGAAGAGAGGTGGGTCTGTTTTCAAGATCTGTCTGCTTTTCATATACCCTTTTGCTTTTTTTACCTTTTCTTTTCTTTCTTTCTTTCTTTCTTCATGGGTCTGTTCTTATCTTGTCATAGACTTTGATTGCTATATATCAAGATGTTGATATCATCACCTTCACTTTGCGAATCCATTTATCTGTTCTTGATAAATCTCCATTGAAACCCCTCCAAATTTGAGGTAGATATAACTTAAATCTTGATCACAGATTGCGATTTAGGGTTTGCAAATTGTTTCCACTGTGTTTTTCCCCCAATTTTTTTGACCTAATCTTGATTCCCCTCTGTGTTTTCTTGAAATTCTAGCTAGAGTTTCTTGATTTCTTGCAGATCTGTCAATGGTGATATCTTGGTTCTTGCTTTTGTGATCAACCCTTTATTGCTTTGCTCAAGATTATGTGGACTAACTTGATTTTGCGGATTGATGATTTGATATTTATGATTGATTACATCTGTTTCTTCGTTTCTACGCAGTTGTTCTTGAATTGGGGATGTTGCCTGCTGTAACTGATACCAATAGTGGTTTTGCTTTGATTGATATATAGAAAATTTGGAGTTTTTCTTAAATGGATTCGAAATCTAGTAGCAAAATAGTCGGTAGTCAGTCGCCTTCGCCTTTAAACATCTCAAAAACTAGTGATTTAGAGCCTGCAACCCCTACAAAATCGACCGAAAAGAGTGAAATCGAGTCTAAGAAGTCTCAACAGAATCAAGATTCCAAATCTTTAGCTGAAAAGATCGAGAAGAGCTTATCTTTTACACCACCCGCCAACAAAAACGACTTATCTGAAGGTACATTTGATCAAGAAAAGAGCTTTAAAGAAAGCTCGGGATCTGTTAATCTAAGTGATGGAGTTAGCAGCGGTTTGAAAACTAGCAGGAATGCGAAAATTGGCGAAAGAATCGATCTTGTTGAGAGCGGGAAGAGTAGTATGTGTAGGGGAAGCACAAGCACTGATGTAAGTGATGAAAGTAGTTGTAGCAGCTTAAGTAGTAGCATCAGTAAACCCCATAAATCGAACGATTCAAGATGGGAAGCGATCCAAGCCGTTCGATCAAAGGATGGTGTTTTGGGTTTGAGCCATTTCCGGTTGTTGAAGAGGTTGGGTTGCGGTGATATCGGGAGTGTGTATCTCTCCGAGCTTAGTGGTACTAAGTCTTATTTTGCCATGAAAGTCATGGATAAAGTGTCGCTTGAGAGCCGCAAGAAATTGTTACGAGCTCAAACCGAAAGGGAGATTCTGCAATCTTTGGATCACCCGTTTCTTCCAACGTTATACACTCATTTCGAGACCGATAAATTCTCGTGTTTGGTCATGGAGTTTTGCCCGGGAGGTGATTTGCACACGCTTCGCCAAAGGCAACCGGGGAAGCGGTTTTGCGAACAAGCTGTAAAGTATGACCCTCTTATCCCTACTCTAATTTGCTAAATTTATCATCTACATATTATTTTCACAAACAAATAAAACCAAACGAATCTAGTATACCCATCTGAGGTGGTGGGGTCCGGGATGGGTAAGATGTAACCAGACCTTATCTGAGCCCTGAAGAGTAGAGTAGAGTCAGGTCTGCATACATCCTATCCTCTGACCCATCTCCGTATGGGATTTACGGGTTTGGTTTGGTTTGGTTTGGTTTGGTTTGGTTTTTTGGATTTTGACAATCAAGCCACTATGGTTTATTTTGAACGATTTGATCGTCATGGTTAGTCCCGTTAAGTTGGTTAAGATCAATATCGTCTTCATTGAAACAACCGTTTTACTTTTCGAGGTAGAGGTCATGTGTGCGTACATTCTCATATCCCACCTCTGGTTGGGATGTATTGGGCTCGTTTGGTTTGTTTCTCCGAGTTCATTGCTGGTATAGGATGTCTGATAGTTTTTCTAATTGTTAAGACTTCCGCATTGTAGGTTTTACGTTGCGGAGATACTTCTTGCTATGGAATACCTGCACATGCTTGGAATCATCTATCGGGATCTGAAGCCCGAAAATGTTCTTGTGAGGGAAGACGGTCACATAATGCTCTCCGACTTTGATCTTTCCCTTCGGTGCTCCGTGAGCCCGACACTCGTGAAATCATCTCTAGACAACGAACCCTTTCGAAAGAACTCGGCTTATTGTGTTCAGCCCGCTTGTATCGAGCCACCTTCGTGTATCCAACCCTCGTGTGTTGTCCCTACATCCTGTTTCTCCCCCAGACTCTTCATGAGCAAATCCAAGAAAGAATCGAAATCCAAACCGAAGACCAAGCCCGA